AATTATCTGGCTCTGGTCGATATATCATGTGATATTTATCAAAAACATTAGTTGCGTCAAAATAGGCATGCCTCCCTTAAATTGCAAAACATATTAATAAAAAATTAGCCAAATTATATAATAATTTCAAGATATATGTATATTGATCTTTTGAACAATTTTTATTTAATAGACAAAATCGATTTATTTAGTAAAATTTTGACTTTACTATATAAAAACAAAAGTGGCAAACAGAAAATACCAAAACTACTTTTTTGATATTTTTAATATAAATGCATTAAAAAAGAAATTTTGGTTATCAAAGGATGTAGAAGTATAGGTCTTCCACTTTGCTTCAGATAATAAAATGTTTTTAAAAAGAGATATAACCTTTATTATCCACTAAATATAAAAGAATATCTGTCTAAATTCTTCAGATTAGACTATTTTTGCTAAGAAGTTTTAAATTTAGATGGGTAGAAATTGAACTAGCAGTACCGTATATCTCTGAAAATAAACTATGCTGAAAATATGCTACTTTTTTTTTTAGACAAGAAAAGTAAAAAATGCAATTTACCCAAAAGAAACTACCCATAAATAATAATAATTGCTACATAATAAAATCAAAATTTACTAAGTAAATTAATTTACCTTATTAAGTGAAAGTTGTTCAGAAGATCAAAATGCATATATTCTAAAAATTTTATATAAATCAGAAAACATTTTATTAATTGACTTTTGCATATTACGTTCAATGAAAATTTAAAATTTTCTTTAAAATTTATATTTGTTGAGCGTAAAAATCAAAAGTCAATTAATAAAATGTTTTCCGATTTACATAAAATTTTAAAATATATATATTTTGATCTGAACAATTTTCACTTAATAAGATAAGTCAATTTACTTAGTAAAATTTTTTGTAAATGACGAAAAACTGCTTTTACCCAATTATAAGCTATCTGTAATATTTTTATGTAATTTTTCCAAAAAAAAAAGTAGCTTATTTTGGAAAATATACGGTATTCATTATGATTAAATATTAAAGCATACAGTCAAATCTCGATATAATCACCAGGTTGAGAAACAAATATTTGGTGATTATAAAAAAGTGTGACTATATGAAGGTCAAATTTTGCATGTTTTATAATTATTTAGAATTAAGAAATAGTGTGACTATAACAAGGTTGTGACTATATCAAGAGTGACTATGACGAGATCTGACTGTAGTTTATATTTATTATATTCATATTAAGGTATATATTTGTTTTAAAAACTAAGAGCATTTAAATTGTGGTTATTTTTTTATATTAGGTTAATCCGGTTCGGACCAGTCCATCCAAGGATTGGGCAAGTCCAATTATCTTTATGATGGATCGAGAGAACTATCAGTCCTAATAGTAAGATAAGGATAAGTATTAGAATGACATTAAAAAGAACACCACATATAGCAAAATTTTGCAAGAAATTTTTTTGTCGAAATCTTATAGACGATTATTTATATTACTTAGTACAGGCCAATTTTAACATCTATACTACCAATACTGGTCTATGCAAAGTGATACAAAAATTACGTTTTTGATGCATTTCGACCAAAATTAGTGACTTTTTTGATGCATCTCTTCCTAAATTTACCGAAATTCTTATATACGTAACAAAGAATCATTCAAAAACGTAATTTGAAAATTTTTTGTTCGTCCGCACGCGTGTTCAACTTAGTAACAAAACATGCACATCCACACGTTTGTGCAATGAGATGATTATCATATGATATACTCCGACATTTAATGCTACGCATTTTCCTAGTTATATATTAGCTTTAGGGTTAGAAATTATAACGATCGATAGTTTTTTTAAATTCGGCCTATACTATTGCTATGCTGATTAGCTCACTTATACTATGCTGATCAGCTATAATTATGTTTACAATATGCCTGATCCTGGTTTAAAATCACGAAACTGAGGACTTTTTATGCGGTGGCGTTTCAAGTTACACGATTATGTATAACACTACAAATCAAGTAATTTAATGCATAAAGTAGCATAAAGTAAAATCGTATTTTAATATCTTGAATAGCTTGTATCTCGCTGATTTGTGGTAACTCATTTGGTTAATTTATTCCATTTCCGACTACCGTATTCCTCCGAAAATAAGCACTCCCCGAAAATAAGCACCCCTGTAATTCATAGATACCCGACAATAAGCATCCTGTAATTCATAGATACCCAAAAATAAGCACCCCTGTAATTCATAGATATCCGAAAACAAGCACCCCTGTAATTCATAAATGCCCGAAAATAAGCACCCTGTAATTCATAGATACCCGAAAATAAGCAACCCTGTAATTCATAGATACCCGAAAATAAGCACCCCTAAAATCAATCGTAGAGTTTTTGCACTAAGTAATTTTATGTTTAACTTCTAATTAAAGTTATTCTTCAGATAGAGACGATTCGAATTTCGGGCAACGTTTGTTTACATGATCTGCAGATTATAAATAAAAGATAAATAAATGTTTCCTGAATTTCGAAGTGCAATTGCGAATGGTCTACTGGGTCGATTTTAATGATTTTACCATTCTTAGAATCGTCTCTATGCGGAGAACAATTTTACTTAGAAGTCAACAATAAATTTACTTAGTACAAAAACTCTATTCAATTGATTTTTTTCATTTATATTCAAAAATAAAAAAAAAGGGTGCTTATTTTCGGAGGAATATGATATTTAAAAATTTGCCTCCGATCCATATTTTGTACTGCGACAATAACTGCGCAAGAATTTTGAAAACGCACCTAGCATTGCCACCAAAACTATTTACGTAATTAATCACGTTTAAATTTTTAATCTGCACACAGAATAGCAAAATCACAAGATCACGAAACCATGAGATTTTTTGAAATAATATTTTTTTTTTCTTTTATATATATTTATTCAACTTGTCATTACAAATTCTAAGTCAAATTGCGTTCAATTCAAATGTATCAAATGCATTTGAGTGATGCCAAGAGAAAACTCGTAAATCTTATAAGATTTGCGGGTGTTCTCTTGGCGGCACTCATTTATATCAAAATTCAAATTTTATTTAATATACATATAAAGCTTTGAATTTAATGCTACCAGTAAAAGATATTTTTGTCAGGCTTTTGGAACTTTCTTGCTCATTCGAAGCTTTAATATCATATATCATTTTTTGAATAGGTTTGAAGTTCGATTCAATACTTCGAAGCCATTTTTTTGTTTGGAAAAATTATTAGACTTTTCAAGACAATCAAGTATCTAAAACATAAAATTATTATGACAGGGTGAAACCTGCGTTGTCTGCTAGTAAAATCCACGTTAATTGGTTATTTTATGTAAAATCTGCATTGATCAGTAAAACCTAATATGGATAGGGTGAAACCTGCAATCAAAAATAATAGGATGCAGATAAAAAAAAATTTCTCCGAATTTGGTCAGGTGTTGTCAGGTGGTTGTCAAGATATCTTTGCTTAAAGTTTTAGAAAACGTTTTTTTTTTTAAAACTTTGAGCAATGATATCTATGAATCATAAAATTCAAATAAAAAAATTTCATCGAATTTGAGCAGGTGGTTGTCGAGATATCTTTGCCCAAATTTTAGAAAAATAAAATAATTGATCAACGCGGATTTTACATAGCTGATAAAATAACCAATCAACGCAGATTTTACTATATTTATTTAACACGAAAATATAATGATAAAAAAATTTTTATACCTCATGAAGAGTTTTTTAAAATTTCCGATTTGGATTCACTGTCTTCAGTACTCCATTCCCGGTGCAGCTCATTTCACCGACATTCATTTCGAAGACGTAACATTTCGCTGACAATCAATTTACCGACAAATAATTCTGGTCATTGTCGTTAAGGTCAGGTTAGAATTAGAGTAAAGGTTAGCAGAATTTATGAAAAAGACTTGTCTGTGAATTGAGTGTTGGTGAAATAAACTATCGGTGAAATGAACTTGTCGACGAAACAAAAATGTCAGTGAAGTGAGGCGTAACCCTCTATTCCTCATTATCTATATTTTGATTTTCTATCGATCATTAAATTGACGTGTGTGTAATCAATTAAGGTCCATTCGAATATTTTCCCATAAAGTTTCTTTAGCTTCCATAATAAAAGGATATTGGCCTAAATTAATATATGTAATAAGTTTAAAATTTTTTAAACCATAATATAATGACAAACTTTCGGAAAAAATGATGCATCCATCTTCCCGAGAGGATTAACAAAAAAATGAGAAAAACATGTCCATATTGCTATGTGTAGTTAATTTATTCCACTCAGTTTTGAATTCTTTATGCCGCGATGATAATATTAAACCGATGCAACTGTACTGACAATAATTTTTCGGTAAGGATATGATAAGCAGGGCTGGTTGAATTTGTATTCCCTTTTAGAATATCATATATATATATATTCTCATAAATTGTATACGTATTCAATCTCTTCGGATTTTTTTGATATTTTCTTTTGCCTGCAAATATCATTTAAAAATTTGGTCCTCACATTTCCGTCTTTTACGATTTATTATTAATTTGAAACGCTATATTTAGTTTCGTAATTCAACCAGAAGAGCACGTAAGATGTGTATATTCCATTTTAGAAATATGATATTCAAAGAAATAACTTATTATTCTTACATATCGATATATAATTATTACGTAGCCAAATGTCGTCACTATTAACGATGCTAGGTGGGTCGGTTTTCCCTCATTTGTATTATTTGGGGAGTTATCGCATCCGGATTCTCTACCCTTGATCGATCAACATAAATCATTTGTGCGACAAATTAATTAAAGGGTTAATAAACTCTCCAATCAAAATTATCTTAGCCAATTCCGATATTGTAAATAAGAGTTAACAACATTAAACGTTAATTTAAACTCATGATACTTATCAAATAAGGAGAAACCTGGAGTTGGCGTAGCAGGAGGACATCGGCGACAAGCCTTTTAAAAATAATAAAATAAAATATCACCACTTTTTTATTGACTTTGATTATGAGCAATCAGGCACGAGCTTCACGGCATGCCTCAGGCATACTACCTTCTAAACAGTTTTTTGCACCAAGAAAGCCGATAACGCAAAATGCATCACGGAGAAAGTCAACCACCCTTTCCGTCATAGTTAATTCTCCAAGCACACCATCGCTACCTATATTTCAAACTTCAACATCGGCAACAACAACACCTACTAAAGCTCCTTTCTCTGCATTAAACTCTCCAATTTTAAACATCCAACCGGAGGAAGAAGTCTCTCTTTTACAACAACCTTTAAATGCTCTTTCTACGGTTGTAACAACTCTTCCTTCTGATCCAACAAATCCGTCCCTTGAACAGCCACTCAATACTATATATAATTCTAGTGAATCGCAGGGCCTTTCGGTTCGTACTTCACCTATTCGACCTCCGAGCGCTCTTCGACATCAGCAAAATCAAGATGAAAATGAGGATTTCTCACATTCTACTATTAATTCGGTTCTAGAACCAATATCGCCTGCTGTAGTTTTAGAGCCCTCTTCATATAGACAGATTCGACATGGAACTGGTTCTAACCTTTTATCCAGGGATTTTGTTACTTCTTTTTCGAGGCATTCTGATAGTGATTCATCAGGAACATTATCCACCCAATTACAAATGATTCCGCAAAAGAAACTTTCACAAACAAAACCCCCTATTAATGATTCACCTTACGCATCTATTGCCAAATCCATGCCTCGAATTGTTTATAATCCTGCTCCAATATCACACGCAGATAGCAGAAGGCGTAAACGGCTTTATCAAGTTTGGCCCGGAAGAAATCGTTTTTTCCTTGGTGGAAGAATAATGACTAGCAGAGACTTTACTGCTTTTTTGATTGCTTTTTCTGCACTTATTGTACCATCTGGCCTCTTTTTGGCATTTACGTTGGTATCATTATTTATTAATTAAATGATTGTTTTTCATTCATTCATTATTATTTATTTTATTCATCTATTTATTATTTTATTTTTTTTCTTTTTAATACCTTTATACTAATTTCATTTTTATTAAGATGTCCTTATCTTTTTACACATATTTCACCAGCTGTAGTCTTTGTATTCGTCTATCTATTTTTATTGGCTATTACTAGTATGCTTAGAACTTCTTGGTCTGATCCGGGGGTAAGTGTCAATTGATGATTAAATTTTATTATTGCCAAAATAATAACAAATTTATATAATTTGTCTTAGATTATTCCACGTAATCTTGATCCTTCTCCTCCAACAGAAGATCTAGACGATCCAGAGAATGGTGCTCAAAATAATCCAAATAGTCCTTTTTATCCAATGCGAAGTGTACCTCTTCCAAAAGAAGTTAATATTAATGGTCAAACTGTTAGATTAAAATATTGTGAGACCTGTAGGATATATCGACCTCCAAGATGTAGTCATTGTAGACAGTGTGATAACTGTGTTGGTTTGTTAAATATTGTTTTTTATATAAAATTTTTTAATATATTCTTTGATCATCATTTTTTTTTTTACTGATTTCTTTTATTCATTTACAGAAAATGAAGACCATCATTGTATATGGTTAAATAATTGTATTGGAAGACGAAATTATAGGACATTTTTTACATTTATCGCTACAGCAACTGTACTATGTATTTACGTTACGGGATTTTGTCTAGTACATATATTTTTAATAATGAAAGAACTTGATTTGAATTTCATTTCTGCAGTAATTCAGGCACCAGTCAGATATCCTTGAATTTATTTTTTATTATGTTTCAATCTTGTTGTATATACTCTTGATTATTTCAATATTTCCTTAACGTAAAATTACTTTTGTGTTAGCAATTCTGTCATTTTTTTTGATGTGGTCGGTAGGAGGATTGACAATGTACCATATGTATTTAGTAAGCAATAACCTGACCACGCATGAACAGGTAATTATTCAACTCTTAGCATATTGTAATCTTTTGATATATGTTGTCTGGTATATTAATTATTATTATTTTTTTTTTTTTATCTATTTGAAGATTCGTATCCCAATTCCACGGCGAAATGGCACTAGAAATCCTTTTGATTATAGGAATATGAGCAGAAATTGTTTGTGGGTACTTTGCCGACCCTTAACAAAAAGGTTTGTATATGTATATTTTTTTATTTAAATTAATATCTTTACTTACATACTTCTTTTATGCTTTAAGCTCTGTTAGCAGGAGAGCTTATGTTGTGGAGGAAGAAGTTTTGAATGTTGAGCAAGCAGAGAGTGTTTTAAATGGTCAACGAGAGTCACAGCAAACAAAAATTAACATTACAGAACCGAATGCAGAACAGAACCCGGAGCAGAACCCAGATAAAAATACAGAACTAAACATAAAACAGAATCCGGAACTAAACACAGAACAGGATCCAGAATTGAACAAAACACGGAACTGAATACTGACAATACAGAACCTAAGTTAACAGAAACTCACGAACAAGTATAATTTAACACCGCTAGTCTTGTATAATAATTTTTAACTGATTGTCATTTTTAATTTTCATTATAATATAATATTCTTCCACATCCTTGCAATATAAAATTTGATTGCAAATAAAATTGCAAATACAAGTTAAATAAAAAGTGATAGAATACCATTATATTATTTTTTTTTTTTTTAAACGAGACATCAAGCATAAAAAAAAAATTAAATGTTTTGATTAACTTTAGGAATTGCAAATTATGATAAAAATCATTAAAGATCGTAATTTTAATTAATTGTCTCGAAACTTTTCGATGTTAAACCAATCTGTCTATTATGAGATTGTGAGTTTACTTTCGACAAAAGTCAATATATCATTTCTATGAACCACTAATTTACTAACATGCTATATAAGTATATATATCGATATATTTATATCTTAATGTTTTCAATGTTCTCCGTATTAGAAAGTTAAATTAAAAAAATTTGTTAAAAGTTCTCAAATAGTAATAATTCATGTTATCGTTCGTGTGATATGATCATGTGAATTTTTGCCTGTCATAAAATGAAATTACGTATAATTTATGCAAAATATTAAGAAGTTTCACATGCTAATATAATGCAAATGATAACATCGATATTTGGTCATACGAAAATAACAGGAAATTTTTTTCATCGGAGTTAATGTTACTCATGTGCTGCTACATAGCGCAACATATGGGAGTGACATTAACTCCGATGAAAAAAATCTATTGTTATTTTTTCATCATATGATCAATATCTTATAGATATCAGATAAAGTTATTAATTACGATTATACGCAGTGATTGTACGTAGTAAATAGTAAATTTTGCATTAGCCGATAAAATCGACTTACCCATATAAAAATTTTGACCAATAAATTTCAATCATGCATGAAGATCATCATGTGACTGCTGATTTTTTATGGCACCACTATGTTACTACAGGATAACATCCTTAATATAAATAACAATTAAGATTAATTAGCCATATGTACAATTAACCACAAGAGTTAAGACTAATGATATTTTATTATGTAGGCTTAAAGCTAATAACAATACTGAAACTGGAGAAATAAAAAAAAAGTTATGCGTACACATAACTATTATAACACATCTGTTCTGTAAAAAAATATATATATACAGTCAAACCTCTCTATAGTCACCTCCTTTATAGTTACATTTGTTTATAGTTACATAAATTTTAAAAACCAACTTATATAGCACTTATAAAATTTAACCT